AAGTAACTGCCAATGCCCCTATTCCAAAGTCTATAGATATCTATACAGATGGATCAAAGTCAGGCATTGGATGTTATGTGGCTGATTTTGCTAGCCCAGTAAAGTTTAAATTTGCTCCAGACACTCCGCAATTGGTAGAGTGTCAAGTGGTTTTAGAAGTCTTCAAGGCTTTCCCTGGTCCCATAAATATCATTTCTGATTCCCACTACGTGGTGAATGCAATTCGTATTCTAGAGGTCGCAGGTACAATAAAATCAACCAGTCCTGTGGCCCCCATTCTGAAACAAATACAACAGTGTATTTTATCTAGGAACTCAAAAATTTTTTATTCAACATATTAGAGCCCATACCTTATTACCAGGTCCCATGGTGCTGGGTAACGCTTTAGCTGATGCAACTACTCGCCAAGCATTCCCTGTTTTGCAAACGAATCTTACAGCTGCTCAGGAATTTCATAAACTGTTTCATGTTCCAGCCTCCACTCTCAGACTTAAATTTGGTATCCCAAGAGCTGCGGCTCGAGATATTACATTAAACTGTCAAAAATGTGTTGAATTTAACCACCCTCCATCCATTCGAGTAAACCCAAGAGGGCTTAGACCTTTAGATGTCTGGCAGATGGATGTGACACATATTAAACATTTTGGGAAATTACAATATATTCATGTATCTATAGATACTTGCTCTGGTATTATCCATGCTATACCTATGGCTGGAGAAAAGGTTTCTCATGTTATTGCCCACTGTTTAGAAGCTTGGGCAGCGTAGGGAAAACCTCGCCTGCTAAAGACTGATAATGGGCCTTCGTATACAGCTAAAACTTTTGTACAATTTTGTGTGCGCATGCAAGTGCAGCATCGTACTGGATTGCCATACAATCCTCAAGGTCAAGGCATCATTGAAAGAGCCAATCTAACTTTGAAAATGTATCTGCAAAAACAAAAAGGGGGAATTATGGAATCATCACTGGCTCCTAAAGCAGCCCTTGTCTCTAACTCTATTTACACTTAACTTTTTAAAACTGGATGAGAAGGGGCTGACTGCTGCTGACAGGCATAGTAATCCTGTGGAAGAGACACGGGAAACGGTGAAATGGAAAGATGTATTGACAAACTCATGGAGAGGCCTGGATCCAGTGCTTACCAGATCCAGGGGAGCTGTTTGTGTTTTCCCACAGATTGAAGAAAATCCTGTCTGGGTGCCAGCAAGATTAACCAGAGTTGTTGCGGAGCCAAGGACGTTTTCTAAGAAGAATGAAGAAGCTGTGGTGGACACTTTTAGTCATGATGACTTATGAAGAAGTGCTAAGTATTCAGTTATGGGCAATAGTTAGATCCTGGCCCGTACCTATGCCCATTCATGCCAGTTCTACTGTGTTGCCATTGTTTACTTCTACTCAATGTTTTATGGAAGTCCCGTGTGCTATGCCTATGGGACAAGAGCCTGTTTTATACAATGCCACTGCATTTCCATTGAATTTTACTCTCTGCTTTACTACTAAGGCTAAAGCTCATACTCCGTGTATTGTACTCAGGAACACCATGTTAACTAACTGGGTGGATCCTGTCTCATTTAGCAAGGTTGGTACCGGAGTCTTGGTTGAGGCACTAAAGCAGGTGTCAGCTGGTAAGATGGAAAGTTCAGGAAATATTTCTAATAATGACGGGGCCTTATTAAATATAACTACCATGTTGCTCCGGAGTAATGTTACTGCACCTTGGACATCACAATGGCCCAACCATAATGCAACATACAAGAAAGTTTTACCTTGGTGTCCCCCTGATCTATCTTTTCCTCCAGTTTTTATGCCATGTCAATCTAAAGAATCTCCTGACATGGAGATTGCTTCAGGGTTTGCCCTTTCACCTCCTATAAAATGGGCTGCTATCAACAAGACTGGTATTCGAACAGGAAGGCGAGATATATGGCCCTTTTATCAATGGATACTAACAAATATAGCTGGAGCCAGTACTAGCCTTTCTGCATTTGTCTCTATGCAAGGTCTATATCATGTGATACAAAATATCTCAGCCACCTGCTCTAATAATAGCTATCCTTATCTGGATAGGATTAAGGTAAATGGCGAGCTGGTGAATGCATCTGCCCCAGCTGCCCCTGTATGTGTTTCACCTCCATTTTTCTTTATATTGGCTGAGTTTGAAAATAATACAAGTTTTCTGAACTGTAGCGCAAATAATGTTACCTGCTACTTAGCTGAATGCTGGAATGGTTCTTTATCTTTGGCCTTAATAGTACATATACCTACTTTTGTGCCAATTCCTGTGGAAGCAGATCCAGATGATTTTCCTATAGCCACTTTATTTAGACAAAAAAGAGATTTTGGTATTACAGCTGCAATTGTGACTGCTGTAGCAGTATCAGCAGCAGCTACTGTGACTGCAGGTATAGCAATGGCCAATCAAGTAAATGCAGCTCAAACTGTTGATGCTTTAGTAGAAAGAGCTGCGGATGCTTTGGTTACACAGCATCAAATGAATGCTCATCTCACTTCTGGTATTCTTCTGGTTAATCAGAGAGTGGACCTTCTTCAAAGCAAATTGGAAGAGATTGTAGATATTGTACAGCTAAGTTGTGTTAGTCATACTAAACATATGTGCATTACCCCATTGAGGTATGATAATTCTACTTTTAAAGATGGTAACCTGTTGTCTAATTTTTTTAAAAGGCAATTGGTCTCAGCAAGCGGAGCGGTTGCAGAATCGTCTGTTGATGGAGATTATCGTACTGAATAGAACCCGCATCAATCCTATCACTGTGGGAGATTTTACTTCTTGGCTAACTTCTGCATTTTCCTACTTTAAGGAATGGATAGGGGTAGTTCTCTTTGGGGCTGCAGTTTGTTGCGGACTGGTATTGTATCTATGGTTGCTTTGCAAACTTAAATTTCGTCAACGAAGAGACAAAGTACTAATTACTCAAGCATTGCTAGCCCTCGAACAAGGTTCATCTCCTGAAATTTGGTTATCCATGTTAAAGAAATAGCCAGCAAACAGGTCCCTCAGCCATTGCACCCCAAGGGCTCAGCCCATTGCACTGGGTCGGTGAGGAGTCTTAGCCTGGCTGGTCCTTGTCTATGTAGCTCTGGTACCTGAATATTGAGGCAAACAGCCCTTGCACCCCTGGGAGATGACTCCATTGCACAGGGATGGGTGTTTGCATCTCTATCTGTCTCCCTTAGCCCTTGCACCCAGAGGACTTGTTTCCATTGCACCTGGTAGGGTAGGGAAGACTGTATTTAACTATCAGTCCTTGATCGCTTATTCCCCCAAGATGGAAATTGCTTGATCGGGCTTGAGTTTGAGTCATGATTGGTACCGTGCCAGACAGGCCAAGGGCAGCTCCATCTTAATAAAACAAAAGACACATCTCCCCAGGTTTGGATGAACCTGTTGCTGAAGGAATAGCAGCCTCGAACTTCAGTTCTTGCACCTCTTGGGGCTCAGTCCCATTGCACAAGAGAGAATGAGTCGAGCTGCCATAATTTTTCTCAGGCCAGCTGCCATTGATCCCAATGACGGGAGTAGGTTGATGCCATAAGCCAGGGGCACATCATCTAGGATTAAAGGTAGTGAGTCAACCCCATGACGGGAATAACGAGTGGCCATGACCTGGGTGCACAGTCTCTTGCACAGAGAATGCCAGGCATGGGTGCAACCCTCGTAGCCTAAGACAGGGAACTCACCCTTCCTTATTGGAATTTTGTCCTGTTGATGCTGGCTATGGGGGCACGTCAACTAGCCTAAGAGAGGGATATTGGCCAGTGCCTGCTCTTAAAAAATAAAATAGGGGGAGATGTAAGGAGCCGCCATTAGAAGATGGCGCTTGTTCCCTCTGTTTGAGGTGGAAAACAACTGCATTCAGAGTCGTAAACACCTGCTGTGAGCCTGCGTATCTTTCAGACGCAGCTCCTCACCCTCCCGAGCAGTATGTAAATGAAGTTCTGCAAGAAGCACCAATTAGACACTTATACACAGTTGGGATAACTATTTAAGCAGCACCCATTTCAGGCTTGGGGTCTTTCACTTTACAATCAATGGTGTGTTCCCCAATAAAGTGCGTGAGGAAGGATCCTGTTGTTGCGTCATCCTTGCTGGCGAGGCGGGCGCGACACAGTTTGGCATCAGATCTTCCGTTCTCTCATTACTGGATAAGTAGCATTATTTTGGCTGTCATTACTAGATTTTTAAAGCTAACCTTCAGTTTCTTCATCCTTAAAAATAAGGATATTAACAGATATGGACCTGGGTGACTTTCAGAAGAGACTCTTTTCTTAGTTTGTGAACTCAGTGCACAGACTCGCAGCTAAGCATTTGAGGTCAGCTCTTTTGTCTCATAGAGCTCCTTCATTCCATCCAATGCACTAACCATCAGAGGAGGCTTACCCCAATATGTTTACCTGTAACCCCAGTGCTTCTGTGGTAAGATGTGGGGAATCAGGGCCAGCAAGGTTAACACGTGCGACAGCTAACTGAGACTCCAGCACATCTCCTGGGGTGAGGTGGACTCTGGCAAACCCCTAGGGCAGCTGTCCTGAACCTTCTCAATGCTGTGACCTTTTCATACAGTTTCTCATGTTGTGGTGACCCTTCTCCCTACCACCATAAAATTACTTTTGTTGCTAGTTCATAGCTGCAATTTTACTGCTTTATGAATAGTAAATATCGAGTGTGCACAATATCAGATATGAAGCCCCGTGAAAGGGTTGTTTGACCTCCAAAGGTATTGAGACCCACAGGTTGAGAACCACTGCCCCAGGATGTTGCAAGAAAGCAGAGGGTTCTCATTAAGGTCTACGATGAACCCTTAGAAGAGTGATAGTGTGTTACAGAAGACTGTGGTGATGTTGGCTGATTTGTCTGAACACATCTGGGATTACAGAGTAGGAAGAGAGAGAGAGAGATCCTGGATCAACTTGGTGGATGACACATTAGCACAGAGAGCTCCGCTAGCCTCTGAAGAGCTCCATGGAAGGGCCAGTTGGATCCACTCCGAGCCATATCTGGGAATGAAGGTCCCCAAACTTGCCCACTGGAAATTCCAGGTAATGAATTAAAAGCCTAATTGGTTCCTGCCTGGCCTTTGCAGTAGGACAGGAAGTCTAACCTTGTTTGTGTCTGCTGCTTCTGGCGGGGTGGTGCTTCTTCACTCATTCAGAGTGATTGAACAAGGTCACCCCTCAAGAGCCCAGGTGCTGTGACCGAAGCCAACATCCACAAATCTCCACAAATATCTGTAGGCAGGGCTGAGTTGGACCTGAAGGGCTCAGAAAATCAGGGAGCCAGGGAGTAAGGGATGCATTTGAGGTATCTGCTGCTGCCGTCTCTCAACAACCCCCTCCCACAGCCTTAAAACTTCTGGGGCTGCTGGGAAAGAAATGAACAGATAGAAAAATTGTTTATATGGGATTTATTAGACTGGCTTGCACAATATGGTCTAGGTAGTCAACAATGGCTGTCTCACACTGGAGAGACCACAAGTGCAGTATTTGCTTAATCTATAGTGATATCTATCTCAGCGGTCCCAATATGATGCTGAAGGCCTGGAGGATTCCCAGATTGACATGGCAACAAGATAGATGGTACCAGGTAAGCCATTAATGTCAATCTTACAGGTCTTATTGCTACTAATCATTGTGCCTTCCAACTCACAAGGTATCCCCTTGCTGTGCATTCCATCCCAGTTCACTACCAGTTGGAGCTTTTCCTGCTGGACCCCACTGTCTCGTGCTGGGGATACCTGAGCAGCCTGCTGATAGGTAGGAGCTGGTTGGGGGAACTGGGAGGAATGGGGGCAGATCCCAAGGCCAGACTCCCCTTTCAGGCAGGCTAGCACACTGCAGATGTGTGAAGCACAGCACAGATTCCTCTGTTGCCGTCAGAGCTACAGGACTTAATGATAAGATGCTCCCAGGGGCTGCTAAAGGCGAGCTGGTCCAAGCAGGCAGCATCTGTGCTCAGCTTGCTGTCTTTGCTTGCGTCAGCAGCTCAGACATTAGCAGTAAGAAAAGACAGGACACAGAACTGTGATGAGCAAATATCTGAAAGTCCTTCATCCCTAATAACTCAGTAAACATGAGCCGTGGCCTGCACTGCCTGAAAAGCCAGCGGGAGGACACAGCAAGCCGTAGGCATGAGACAACACTCAGCGGAGGCATGCTGGCATCCCTAAGGCCTGACCCGGGCCTGAATCTCAGCTCACAGATGGAACCCCAGAACAATAACCAAGCCCTTGGTTCAGAAGAAGGAAACCCTGAATAAGTCATGGCCCTGACAAGGAGCCCAAATTGGTGGCTCAGGGACTGGATCCACGCCTGACTTTCCCAAGTTCCAGGGTCTCAAAATGACCCGTGGTTTCCTGAGTCACCTCAGTGGAACTTCTGTGCTGGATCTGGTGGGAGGTACAGGGCCTGCTCAGCTCACTGGATCTCTACAACAACAACAACAACAACGGATTGAAATGATGGCTGAGCAATTAAAAGCCCTTCTTGTTTGTGTAATGAACCTGAGTTTGGTTCCCAGAACCCACATGGTAGTTCACAACCATCCTTAACTCCAGTTCCAGGGAATCTGAAGCATGCATGTATATAACATATGTACACATACACACAATACACATATACACAGACATAGACATACATACATATACACACAGACACACACACACACATATATATATATATATATATATATATATATATATACACACACAGACAAACATACATATACACACAGACACACACACATATACACACAAATACACACACAGATACAGATATACACACACATACAAACACCCACACATACACACAAATAGACACACACAGACACAGACATACACACACAAACTGAGTCAGTTAGCCCAGTCAGTCAACAGGTTCTCCAGTGCAGGAGTGAGGATTAAAAAGAAAAAAGACGATTAGACAATATTGCAGCATGACCCCAGCCAGTTCTGAGGCTGAAGGGTGAGGCAGGTTTATTTTTTCTCCAATCTGCTTTATACCATTTTAATTACATGTAAGTATTTAGGTCAGTTCTAGGTTGAGGAACTAGCCATACAATAAATGCAAATAGTCAAGGAACAAGCAAGACAATAAACAAAGTCCCATGATCACTATTTCTAAGGGCTTATCAGGATGACCAAAATATCTGAGCCTACTTCCCTGTCCTAGCCCAAAGTCATTTTCATGCCTGAAGCCTACTTATTTGTTCTAGCCTAAGATTTAGATTCCTGCCTGAAATTACTTCCTCGGCATGGCCCAACGTCAGATTCCTGCCTGAAGCCCATTTCCTTGTCCTTGGCCAATATTCCCGCCAAGTGACCCCAGAAGCTCTTCATATTCACAAAATCTCTCTCTCTCTCTCTCTCTCTCTCTCTCTCTCTCTCTCTCTCTCTCACACACACACACACACACACACACACACATCTAAAAGTGAAAAGTAAGAACTACACAGCTGGGGCTGGAGAGATGGCTCAGCAGTTAAGAGCACTGACTCTTCCAGAGGTCCTGAGTTCAATTCCCAGCAACCACATAACCATCTGTAATGGGATCTGATGCCCTCCTCTTGTCATATATATAAAATAAATAAAATCTTTAAAAAAAGGAAAGAGGCCAGGTGTAGAATGAAAAATTATAAAGATCATTTTATAAAATATACATAGGTTCTTCTTTAGGTTTTTCTTTAAAAGGCATGGAAATTTTTCTCTTGAAGCAGGCTAAGAATGTGAACCGGCCAGTTATGGGAACTGGCTAAGCACAAAAAGAGAAGAATGGAATTCAGCTAGGTGGAACCATGGAACTGGTGACCACAGTGACTGGGCAGGACTGCATTCCTGAGAAAAATAGTGTACAGAGTGTTTTCACATGACCCTGACTCACACAGGTTGGGTTCCTCTGGAATGTTCCGCTATTTTTATGCTATGTCTCCTTGGCAACCCCCTCGCCTCTCCTCATCCCCTGATTTGTGGTTTTCTCCTTTAAAAACTCTCCTCAGACCAGCATTTGGGGTCAATTCAGCTCCTGTGTGAGCAAACGAATTGACCAACAGCCGGCTGTTCCTCCCAAATAAACCTCTGCTGTTGCATCCAGTTTCGGTGTCTTGCAAGAATTAATGGGTGGTCGTGTCATCCCGAGACTTGAGTGAGGGTCTCCCAGGAGTGGGGGTCTTCATTGGGCAGTGGTGGCGCATGCCTTTAATCCAAGCACTTGAGAGGCAGAGGCAAGTGGATTTCTGAGTTCGAGGCCAGCCTGGTCTACAGAGTGAGCTCCAGGACAGCCAGGACTACATAGAGAAACCCTGTCTCGAAAAACAAAAACAAAAAACAAAAAAAGAGTATTATTTTGGCTACAAACAACCAAATATCCCATATTCATGATAGCTCATTGGAGAGAGAGCTGAGCTGCTTCTCAAATACACCCCCCCACACACACCTCTCTCTCTCTCTTCTTGTACTGGGGATTGAACTCTATCCATGCTTATGTCTACTGGGGAGTGACTCTATCCATGCTAGGGAAATGCTCTAACATCAAGCTATGTAATAAAGCAACAGTCTGGTTCGCTATCTACCTGATGCAGTAAAACTGCTGCCCTGGTTTGGATCTTAAATGTCCTCCAAGGGCCATGTGTTGGAGGCTCACTCACCAGCCTGTGGCATTATTGGGAGATGGTGGACTTTTAAGATGTGGAGGCTTAGGGAAGAAAGTTGGGTCACTGGTGGTATGACCTTGAAGTGGGTGCTGGGACCCCAAGTGCTTCTCTCTTTTGTTTCTCAGCTGCCATGCAGTGAATGCGTTTCCTCCAGCATCCACTTCTGCTATGTCGTGCTGCCTTGGTCCAGGAGCGAGCAGCCATGCATTGCGATCCCTGAAACAGGAAGCCAAAACCAAATCTTTGTTTACAGATGACCATCACTGTAGTTTCCGTATGACAACTGTAGCTTGTCATGTGACAGAAGACTAAACATTGAGCTTGTGACGTTGGAAAGAAAGAGCCTTGTTCTGGGAGGATCAGGAAAATAGGCATTGGGTCACAGCAAAGGTCTTGTGTTAGCAAGTGGCTGGAGGCAGTGTGGCTCAGTACCATGTGAGAAGAGCGAGAAGGGGAGGAAGACTGTACACGGTTAACACTTCACAGGATGTGCCCTCCATGGAGAAGTAAAGGGAAAAGAAAAATAGCAGGAAACTAGGGACCAGAGGGACCCCTGGATGGGGTGGGACTGTCTCACTGAGATCAGAGCTGCATCAAGAATGAACTACCATCTGGGACCTTGCAGTCCATTGGCTGCAGCCACCACTGACCACACTTGACCACACATGCAACCAGAAGGCGGCTCTGCAAACACCAGGATTGATTTATCATTGAAACTGCAGTGCTTTGGGTGGTTGTCATGAAGCAGGAGGTAATAGTTTGACGCTGTTTCTGGGGGGACATGGACAAGCATTTGCTCATCCCAGTCAGAGAGCACAACAGCCCAAAGTCCAGCTTAGAGAACCACTTAGTTTTACTGGGGCTCCTTATGGGAACAGAGAGGACTTAAAAACAGTTCTTCACCAAAGCCCACTTCATCATAGGTGACAGCTCTGTTGTAAATCTGAGGTTGCTCAGATTCACCATGACTGTCTTAGGGTTTCTATTGCTATGGACAGACACCATGACCACAGCAATCTTACAAAGGACAACATTTAATTGGGGCTGGCTTACAGTTTCAGAGGTTCAGTCCATTATTGTTATTGTGGCACCCAGGCAGCCATGATGCTGGAGATGCAGCTGAGAGTTCTACATCTTGATCCGAAGGCAGCAGAAACAATTGTGAACCACACTGAGTGCCAGAGTAAGACTCTGGCAAACCTTAGCTTACTGGAGACCCCCTGAGTGAACCACGAGGAGCCAGGAATCGATGAAAAAAGCAAGAGGAATTCATTGTTCCAACGTGTTGGGGTTGTCCTGTAACCGAAGGAGAGGTGGCGACCCTGGGCAGCCCATTTGGCCAGTTTTTATACAGTTTTTAGCAGTCATTAGGCATAATGTGATTGGCAGAATAGTGTGACTTTTTAAACTGATTGATCTTTAGGGGATAAGGTGGCAGGGACTTCTCTTGTCTGTAGGTGGCAAAAGTTGGTCCGTCCTGCAGAATATGTCTACGCGCTCTGGGCCTTCCCACCCATAGGTGGGTTCCCTCCCCTGTAGTCTGAGAAATGTTAATCAGCCTCTCCCTTCCTGGGGAGCAAGTGTCCCATGACCTTTCTGAAGTTCCTGAGCTGACCTCTTCATTCCCCCCTTGTCTTTGTGCACGCTTCAGTCCTGAAGCTCTTGTGGATAGTTATGCAGCTCATATCTCTGGTCCTCTCTACCTAGCTCTTGATATCTTTGTCTCAGGACCATCAACTGTACTGCATCTATGCAATCTTTAGTACGAGCACCTAAGTGATCCAAAATGCAGGGGCCAAAAGTCAGAGGCAGGAACAACATTATCAGTGGTTCTAACAATGTAGTAAACGAGGGGAGTTAGTTATTAAACCCAGACTCAAACCATCCTAGGGTTTGCTCCCCCTCTCTCTCTTGGCTAGTCCCTCCCGTACCTTTGCCATTGAATCCTTAACTATCCTCCTCTCACTCCCTGAATGGTCTTCAGTATGTGTTTCCCAATGTTCCACACCCTTAGGTAACATAGAAAAAGTAGTTGCCCTCCCTCCCCACTGATGGACCTGCTGCCGGCTTCTCTCATCTCAGGGGCACACAAATATGGGGGTTTCTCACAGGACACTCAACTTCGGGTGTCTGCACCCTAAGCCCCACCCTCTAAGGCTGCTTCTGGGACACAGTTTAGATTCAGAAGTCCCTTGTCCCTGACATTCAGGTAATCCCTGCCCCTGTGTCTCTAGGGTGGGGATATCCCAGGAGTAAAGGCCTGCCACTAACTTACAGAGATCAAAGACAAGGTCTGACCACCAGGCACAAGGGGGGCATTCCACTGTAGTGGACCAAGCCATATCCCTAGTGGCTGACATTACTTGCCAAGTTACTTTGGTAGGGTTGTAAGGGGTGCTGAGGCTCAACACGGGAAGGAAGATACACCATAGTCATTTAATGGTTTCCCCAGCCTTGCAGAACGGCAGGTGATCTTGAGCTTGAGGGGGTTGCTCAGGTGTCTGGCTGCTCTCCAGTTGGCATCAGGTGCAGGTGCTGTTCTGACATGAGTTACCC